TTAAATTTTTTGTCTTATAATTTAAATATAAATACTAAAAAAATATAATCCTTATTTCCAAATCTTATCAAAAAAAAATTTATTTAAAAATATCAATTTTTTAAAAAAATAGATCAGAAGTATTTTTTTTTTATAATAGAATTCAGTACAAATTTGGCCTGAATTCCAAACGGTTTAAGGGATAAGTGGATTCATTACTTATACAACTGATAAATAAGCTTATAATGACGACATGAATGAACGTTTCAACATCAAGTTCCTGCCTTTAGATGGTGTTCACACTTGTCTTTCATTATTTAAATTTTATGTAAGATAGGCTTTTTAACAATTCAATTTTATTTTTTTGCTTTGTCATATTTTTTTATATTTCGTCGGTATATTACTTTACAAAATCTTTTTTTGCTTATTTGTATTCTCTTCAAAGTGAAAAAAAATCAATAAATTGACCTTTTATAAAAAATTTCAAAATATTTATGCTTTTAATAATATATTTGAATAAATTTTAGATTAAAAAGATTTTGAAAAGTTTTTTTTCACGTCTTAAGAATTAGTTTATCCGACTTTTTATTAGATTATAAATACATTGCGGTCCTCAATAAAATAAAGGGCTAAATATAAAGTGTAGTTAAAATATGGATACAAAAATTAATCTCAAAGAAACCTTGATAAATTATATTTTTATAGGGTTAAATAAAGAATTAGTATTAAAATAGACTCAAAACTGAAATAATTCGGCGCTTTATTATGATCAGTCTATAAAATAAATCAATTATTTTATGGTACAGTCAGACCTCAATATAATCACCAGGTTGGAAAACAAAGAATTGGTGATTATAAAAAAGTTTGACTATATTAAGGTCAAATTTTATGTTTATAATGTCTAGGATTAGAAATAGTATGATTATAACAAGGTTGTGACTATATCAAGAGTGACTATCCCTTAAACCGTTTCTCTTACAAATTTGCCCTGAAATTTTTTTGAAAATAAAATTTTTAAAATAAAATTCTAGAATTTCTATTTTGTACACGGTGTGTCTGAACGATTACGGTACGACTCCCCGAAAGCTATTTACCCGACTGGCCACTTACCCGATATCACAAGGGTGACAAATTGCTAAAAATATATACCTGCAGCTAATCAAATGCTAACCCTAAACCTATGTGATGTCGGGTAAGTGACCTGTCGGGTAATAGCTTTCGGGGAATTGAGCAACAACCTGTCTGAGCACGGTCATATAGAGAGCCAATCAGATCTCACGATCAGGTGTAACATAAAAATTAAAAAAATCGGTTATAACTCAAATTTCGCTTATGAAACTGCCTTTTGGGTATTAATTAAAAAAATTTCTTGCGAAATTTTGGTATAAGCTATTTCCCGCCCCCATATCAAACTCACCCTTACCCTAACCTTAGGCAGTATTTAAATTTTCGTTCTATACAGATTGTTTTGATTTACACGTTGCACAGATTTGCAAATTAATATCCGTGTACAATACACACCGTGTACGTTAAGAAATTTTCTTTTATTTTACTTCTAATACAAGTCTTATTTTTTACAAATAAATCACAAAATTACAATTATAAAAGTTGTAATTCTTTATTTAAATTATAATTTCTATTAAGAAACTATAGATCTAAAATTAATATTTAAAGAATTTATCAAAAAATTATAAATTATTTTTTTGGTTAAAATTTTTTTAAAATTTATATATTTTGGCTTATAAGCAAGTTAAATTTTTTGTCTTAAAATTTAAATATAAATTTTAGAAAAATATAATCCTTATTTCCAAATTTTATCAAAAAAAAATAGTTCAGAAGTATTTTTATAATAGAATTCAGAGCAAATTTGTATTGAATTCCAAACGGTTTAAGGGATAACGAGGTCTGACTGTACATTAAATATAATAAAATTAATGATCTTATTTCATAAATCGAGGTAGTAAATCATTGAATAAACCGTTATTGCATGTTCCCGTATGCATCAACTGCTGTATTTTATTTATCTTCTGATCGTTCGATAACCAAGTCGTACCGGCTGGGTTACCAACCAATCATCATCCATAAAATACAGCAGTTATTGCAATAACTATATATTATTGACTCTAAGATTTATTTATCTTGATGTACTGGTATTATAAAACCAGAACTATTTGTTTCTTCATAGAGAATCTTAATTTCTTCTATTTTAAAATTTGTATTTCAGTATTCAGATCAAAAAAAACATTCAATTTATATTATAAAATATATTAAATTTACCTGTATTAATAATTTTTGGAGTAAGATCATTGTCGGATGTAACCAGCAAACTGTCATCTAATTCTGGAATAATCAATTCATTTTTATATATCTTTTGTAAATTGGTTGTGAAAAATTTTAAAAGTTCAGATGCACTTGGTCTACATGAAATATCAGCATTCCAACATCTTTTCATCATTTCTTCATAATCAGAAGGAAGTCTAAAATTAATTTCAGGACGAGTACCATTACATATATTAAGGGCTAATGTAATCTCATTTTCATCATACACATAATTATATGGAATACGTTTAGTAACAAGTTGCCACATTATTATTCCAACACTATAAATATCTGCTGCAGTTGTATAATTAGCATGAAGTAAAACTTCTGGGGCTATATATGGAAGAATCCCAAAGATTTCATTATTTGAGTTATCATTTGTTAATCTAAAAAGTCCTAAATCACCAACACACCATAAATTTCTTGATGATATAATGTTTCCAGGATGAATATCTCCGTGTAAAATATTTGAATGATGCATTTTAGAAAGTGCACAAGTAATATTATGAAGTATAGAATATCTTGTCCTCCATGAAATAGTGATATCTTTATTTTTTAAATATGTTTTCAAATCTCCGTCAAAAAGGTATTCCAAAATCATCATAAAGTTGCCACTTTTTGGTTCCTTGGTCAAACCATAGCACGTAACAATGTATGGGCTCTCCAAAGAAAGTACCATATGGATTAATATCTAAAAAAAACAATTATAATTAAACAAACCGATTTAATGTGGGCTTAATCTATGTATATAATCATTATAATATACATAACGATAAGTAATTACCTCTTTGTAAAAATTTATATTTATGTTTTCAATATTCTTAGTATTCATTGATTTCAATATAAATGGACCAGGTCTACCTCTTAAAAACTTTTGTTTATACGCATCCCAACTAATTATTGAACCATCTAACCACTTAGCAACATATACAATTCCAAATCCTCCAGTAGCTTTAACTTCAATATTTTGAAATCTTTCAAAAGGTACCCATTCAATAACTTTATTTGTCCTAGCATAATATCTAAGTTGAAAATATTGGATCAACAAATCAAAGTTTTTATCTCCAGATGTCCATTTAGAAAAGTTACTTTTAATATGCTGTTTAATACATTCAAGACAAGAAAACTCTGCAGATAACTCAGATTGACAACGTACGCATAAAGCATTTAATATATTTGTTTTTCTTCCAGATACATTTCGTCCTTTAATAAGTGAGTCTTTAATAAATTTCTTTTCTTGTGGAGTAAGTAACTTATTGTCTTGGATTATTTGTGCTATTTGTTCAAAAGACTCGGATTCAAAAATGACAGAAATTTCATGAAATATTTCCCATACATAATCTATACGAATATTAGTCAAATCATTGAATTGCGGATCCCTTTCAAAAAATTTCTTATAGTTAATAAATTTTACAGACATTTTAAATTAATTTCTTATAATTGATTGCAGAAAGTTGAAAATTCAATAATGGTAAAAAAAATTGCCGTTACCGTTGTTGTATTTAAACATTATAATCTCATTTTGCATATTATAATCAAGTATAATACAAATATGGAAATACTTAACGGTAACGTAACAGTCTACAGTGTATTTTCCAAATCATCGAGTGGTTCGGAATGTTACAATATGCATTAGTACGTGTCACTTCATTTAAGTTGCAGGTAGATCAAAACAAATATCAACTTATATTCTTTAATCTAAATCATAAATAAATTTTCGCACAAATTCTCTAGAAATTAATTAGATTTTTAAAATTTGAAAGAATCCATATGCAACTATAACAACACCTGATTAATTTCTACGTATTATTATTGTATGATTACAGTGAGTCATGAGCTCATGCGAAGATGAAATCTCATTTTACAATGAGGCGTTAGAGAAAAATCCAAATGAAGAACTTATATTAAGTCATCAAGAATTCCAATATGAAAAATCTATAAATGATTCAAATAAAGTATTAGAAATTGATCCTGATAATATTGAAGCATTAAGAACTCTTGGAATAGAATGCACGAAATTAAATCAATATGATAAAGCATTCATCATTTTAAATAAAGTATTAGAAATTGTTCCAAATGATACAATCGCATTGACATACCATCTTCACACATGTACTGAATTAGAAAAAATCGAACTAGCCTTTAATGATTTAAATAAATTATTAGAAAATGATCCGAATAATGTACCTTTTCTAATCAGTCGAGGTTATGTATATATTGATATGAATCTTTATGACAAATCTCTTAATGATTTTAATAAGGCGATAGAACTTGAACCAGAAAATCCATCGGCACTATGTGGTTGTGGAGAAATAAATCACAAACTAGGGAATTACAAAGAAGCTCTAAAGTATTTTAACAAATCATTGGAAATTAGACCAAATGATAAAGATACGTTGAAATTTCGTGCACAAACTTATAGAATTTTAAATCTTCATGAAGAATCTGTTGCAGATTTTAACAATGCAGCTATATTAGAGCATAATGATAACTCGATTAATGAAAATATTGATTATGGTCTAAATTATTATGAAATGCATTTAATACAATTTAATAAATATTTGGAAGAGAATCCGGATGATCAGGAAACCTTGGTATATCGTGGAGATACTTTTCGTATATTAAACAGATACGAAGAAGCACTTGCAGATTTAAATAAAGCACTCGAAATAAATCAGAATGATCTATTAGGCTTAAGCATTCGTGGTGAAACTTATCGGCAAATGGGAAAATATAATGAATCTTTAGTTGATTTAAATAAAATATTGGATATTAATCCAGATGATGCACCTGCTTTAAGGCTTCGTGGAGAAATTTATTATATTCAAAATAAATTTCTTGAATCTCTTGATGATTTTAAAAAGTCATTAAAGATTCATCCAAGCAACTCATTCGCTTTAAGATCTTGCATAAAAATTTATCAAATATTTAATCAGTACGAAGAGCCTCTTGAAATATTAAACAAAGTGTTAGAAGATGAACCTGAAAGTATGATTGCATTAAAATTACGTGGTTATATTTATTATCTTATGAGAAAAGGGAAAGAGTCACTTGAAGATTATAATAAATTCTTACAATTTGATTCAAATGACGAATTTGTATATTACTTAAGAGGATTGACTTATCTTATGCTTGAACAATTTGAAGAATCTCTTATGGACTTTAATAATGCATTAAAAACCATGCCAAATGATTTGCCTGCGCTATTTTCAAGAGGAAATACTTATCTAATGTTGGATCGTTATGATGAATCCCTTAAAGATTTAAATAAAGCTTTAGAAATTGATAAAAATTACGTGCCCGCATTAATAGTTCGTGGAAAGAATTATATTTGTTTACGAAAATATAATGAGGCACTTGAAGATTTAAACAATACACTTGTTATTGAACCAAACAATTTAATAGCTCTAAAATCTCGTGGCGAAATTTTTAAAATACTTCAGCTTTATGAAAATTCACTTAGGGATTTGAATAAGATATTAGAAATTGAACCCAAAAATGCGTCTATTTTGAGTATTCGAGGTGAAGTATATCGTCTGATGGAAAGATATCAGGAATCACTGGACGATTTAAATAAATGTTTAGAAAATGAACCAAATAATACGTCAGCAATAAAAAATAGAAGTGAAATTTATTTAAAAATGAAGATGTATCAAGAATCACTTGCTGATATTAATCATTTATTAACGATCAATCCAAATGATTTATTGGCCTTGATAATTCGAATGACAATTCACAAAGAAATGGGTAATTACGAAGAATCACTTATGGATATTGAAAAATTTTTAAAAATTGATCCAAATAATATATCTATATTGAGTGTTCGCGGTGGAATTTATTTCATTATGGGAAATAATCAAAAATCACTTGAAGATTTTAATAAAGTATTAGGAATTGATTCAAATAATGTACTATTATTGAAGCAACGCGGAGAAGTTCTTCGTTTAATGGGAAAATATAAAGAGTCGCTTGAAGACTTTAATAAAGTACTAGAAATTGAACCAAATGATTTATTGGCTTTGACGACTAGAGGTTCAATTCATATGGAGATGCACGAATACAAGAAATCACTTGAAGATTTTAGCAAGATATTAGAAATTGAATCGAAAAATTTATTGGCTTTGACGCTTAGAGGTACAATTTACCAGATGATAAGCAGTTACAGAGAATCACTTCTAGATTATAATAAATTACTAGAGATTGATCAAAATAATGTATTAATATTAAAAAATCGAGGAGAAATTTATCGATTGATGGAAATGTTTGAAGAATCACTTAATGATCTCAATAAATTATTAGAAATAGAACCAACTAATGTATCTTCATTAAAAAGTCGAGGAGAAATCTATCGATTATTAGGAAAATTCAAAGAATCTCTTGAAGATTTTAACAAAGCATCAGAAATTGAACCAATAGATGCTTATACGCAAGGACTTCGCGGAGCAACTCTGTATATGCTTAAACGCTATGATGAAGCATTAAAAGATTTCAATAAAGCATTAGAATTGAACCCAACTAACGTATTTTGCCTTGCATACCGTGGAGCACTTTATTTAAAATGCGAAAGGTATACAGAAAGTCAAAAAGACTTGGAAAAAGCAATTGAATTAAATCCAAATGAACCATATATTCACTGGCAACGTGGAACACTTTATAGATTAACGGGAAATTATAAAGAGGCTTTTAATGAATTTAGTACAATAGATGAATTCAATCCAAAATGTGAATTGGACAAATTAGAACAGGCAGAGGCGTATTGTGGTCGTGCAATTTTAAATAGGATGTTTGAAAAATACGATGAAGCAGAAACAGATCTGAGGAAAGCAAATAATCTAGATCCAAAAAAAGAAAGAAGCGATATTAACAACATAAAATATCTTAATATTAGAGAATAAATGTATGAACCCAACTTTGGTATTTCGGAATTCGATCATAATAAAATCTTGTAACCTTACTAGTGCTGTAGTGATGCTGTTATATTGAAGTAATTATTGACAACAAATTGTAGCGTAGCTGCTATATAAACGTAGGTCGGTAACTAGTATCATTACAATATAATATCTGATATTCGATATTTACATGTCGCGTTCACTTAGATGTGATTTCATAGTAGAACACATTGTAAATCCATTCAATCCCAATTATTCATCAGAAGGAAATTCCAATTCTTTATAATATCATATAATATATACGATCAAATATGTATGGTCTAATGCTATTATCATTATTAAAAATTACTACTTCCGGCCGTGATTTCTGATTTTCTATAAAAAAAAACAATGCCGGAAAAAAAATTCACTCGATAGTGATCAAAATAGTGTACAGTACGAGATTATGGCATAATTTCAGCTATTCTCATAACATTTTAAATAATACGAATAGAGATGGCAAATCGTTTTAAAACACGATCTTAAAAATCATTTTTGGTTTAAATCTGTTAAAACGTGTTTTAATAAATTATTACGTAATTGTGCGTTCATGATTACTAACGTTGTGACGGTGAAAAATGGTACTAACATGTTTTACCGCTAAAAAACAACTAAAAATGAAGGCTACTCGAAAGAGGGCGTGGAAGATTTGGTCCGAGAACCAAGGAACCTACTGCCACTAGGATCACCGGACGGATGGTCTTTATTAATTATATTCTTATTTACCTATCTACTCACGTGTTATCTTTTAGTTACATTAAATCGATGGGATTATATACATTACAGATTACATTGGGCTTTGCTACTACGATAATAATCTTACAAGCAATATGACTAATTAGAGTGTCGGGAGGAGTAATTCTATGATAACAATGAACATTTTCATACACATTTTCATGGCTATGATTTTAGTGCTCACCATATGAATACCAGAGGCGCCTTACTATTGTTCTCAATGGAGCATCATCTCGAGCCAAACCCGAATTAGTATAACTGCCTTCGCTTTTGTCGATTGGGACCGAGTCATATAGCTTGCATCACGTTTTCAGTAATGCAGTCGGGTCACACACCATTACAACGTTCAAAAAAAGATTCTTCAATGTCTCATGCTCGTGGGGGATACCTTTAAAAGAAATCCGTTTAAATATACAAAAGTTTCTGAACCTGATAAATATAGTAGAAAAGCATCTCGAAAAAATGCAATTATTACGAAGACTGTAGATTCAGTTGGTCGATTAAAAGGTCATTTATTAAAATGTAAAAACTTCCAAGAAAATAAAAGAGTTCAAATTCTGTTTCAAGTGACGATATGCGATTGGATTAACATGAGAAGGATAAATTATTTATTCCCTGTATTCCTTATAATCTTCAAATAATTTATTCGCAAAAACTTATTCAATGAGGTTTACAGAGTAGCAATATTATTGCAAACCTTGGACTTTCATTACTACAGTACAAACGTAAATCTAATACCAAATGAAAGATTGTATCT